TGGTGGTTAGTTTTCTCAGAGGTAGGCCACTTCTGTTTTTGCTCACGAGTAAACTTAATGAACTTAGAAGATATGCAAGGACCTTTTGATTTATCGTTGGCAGATTTAATATCTTTCAGTTTTCTCTTTCCTTTGTCCGAAGATTTCATCGATGGAGGAATACCATATTTCATTGAGGGTTTGGAGTTTTGAGGCTTCTTATACTCAATGATCTTTGGTGATTCACATATTATCTCCTCTTCAGATTCGTAATCAAGAAAGTCTCTCACTGATTTCTTGATATCAAAATTAGCATGGATGTTTGTGGGAGGTGTGGGTTTAGAGGTTGATGCTTCAGAGTGATCTGCTTGAGATTCCATCGATTCTGACTTGGATGAACTTTCAGTTTTACTTGGATGGTTCATCGATTCATCAGCTGATGGTTCCTCATTAGGATTCACCTTTTCATCAACAGTACTTGCTGATGAAGTGGAATTGACCAATCAGAGACTTTGGCTTGACCATAGGGTTTCCATCGGTCTCTGATTTGGAGATGTCATTCCTTTGATCAGAATTCTTACATGTACTGCTCTCGTACACCACATTTTCAAAATCCTGTCTTAAAATGACAGTTTTTCCATCGACTTTAACTCTTTTAAAATTTGCTTTTGGTTTCGGGGTAAAGTCGGGTTTCTAAATGCATCCAAGTTTGAAAGTGGATTCAAGGGTGAATTTCTTTGATTCGATAAAGGAGTCCAATTCATTGAATCCAATCTCTTGAGTGTCCGTTTGACCATTAAACTTTTCATACACATATTGGGCATCCTTGTATTTCTTCATCAGAAGTTCATTGGTTTGAAGCTTCTGGTGAAGAATCTCCCTTTCTTTTTGAAAGAAATCTTCGATAGTTACTGAGTTAAGTCTCTCTGCCTCAGATTCTTTTAAGGTCTTAGTTTTCTTTTCTAAGTCTTTGGTTACTCGCTTGTTTATTTCCACAAGTTTTTCTTCCTCTGATTTTTTAAGAGCGGTGATGCGAGTCTTTTCTTTCATCAGATCAGCTTTTTCTTCGGTTAGAAGATCAGTTTCTCTTTTGTAGAAACTAACTTCTTTTTTCGCTTTAAGTCTTTCAGATTTTTCAAAGCTTAATTTTTTTTTTAGTTTTAAAAAGTCCTCTAAAAGCTTTATTACCGTTAACTCTAGCTCAGATGGAGCCGAGTTGGTTTTATTTGATGTAGACTCACATACCTGATCATCAGTGTCAGAGGCAGATTATGCATTGGACGTGGCCATCAGACAGATGAGTGCTTTGTCTTCTTCATCAGATGAAGAATCGGACACCCAGTTTTCTTTCTCAGCCATCAGGCTTCGTTCTCTAGGATTGTACTTGTATTTATTCTTGTAATAGTCAGCATCCTTTACCAGTCGTCCTCTGCATTCTTTGGAAAAATGACCGATTTTTTCGCACCTGAAGCGGCGGAGGTCATTTTTCCTTCCATCTTTGTCCTCTTTCTTCTCCTCTCTTCTATCTTCTCTTATTTCTTCTCTCTCCTCTCTTCCCGCTCTTCTGTCTTCCCTTTGATGAAATTTAGATGGCTTCCTTTCATAGGATGGCAGGTACCTTTCCCTCTTGAACTCTCTCCGTTCATAGGGTTTCTTGATGAACTTTTTCTGGAATTGCTTTGTAATCAAGGCCATAGACTTGGCAAAGGCTTTGATATCATCATCTGATTCAAATGTTTCATCTTCGGATTCTGATTCTACCACCAGTGCTTTCTTTCCTTTGTTCTTGTGGTCTCTGGTGGAGGTCCTTGAAACTTCCTTTTATTCAGCTGCTAGAGCCAGGGGTCCACCGATAGACATCTTTTTCTTCATGATGTCGTTATCTTGTGCAGCAAGCATTCCGTATACGTCATGGAGTGACCAGCCGTCTAAGTCCTGATTTGCTTGAAGGGACATTGACAGCTGTGTCCATTCATCGTCGAAACTTTTAATGAATAAAACATTGTTTTCTTCCTTTGTTCTGGAGATATCATTTCGACGACATTGATTAATCAATGTGTTGAAACGATCATATGTCTTCTGAATCGGTTCATCAGGAAGAGCCTTGAAGTTGGATGAATAAAACTAATAATCAAGTTAAGAATAACCAAATTATAGTGTTTAGATGAATAAAATGATGAACACTCAAGAACAATGTATGAACATTCAATGAATAATCTTGAGTGCCAAGGATTTCATTTTATTCAATAATAATGTAAAAACGTAAAGCGTCAAAATTACAATAGGCCTACCCACCTATTTATACTAGTAAGCTAATAAGAAGATAACTATCTAGTGAGACTATTTAGCTAATTTTCTACTAACAGATAAAGCTTATCTATAATAAGGATAAACATTAAAACAAGATAAACTTTGTAGAATCCAGCTTTTGAATGGTTATCTCCAGCTGTCTTCCATAGGATATGAGTTCAATCTTATCTTCATTGCTTGCCTCTGGTTGAACTGGCGAAGGAAACTCCAAATGTTAGTATCCAGAGGGGTTATGGAGATGCACTTTCCATCGCATCTCTGGTCAGTTCATCGACCCTCTGGATGTTCTTCAGACTTGGTAATTTTTCCATGAAGTCTTCCATCGGCCTTCTGGTTCTTCATCACATGTTTGTCTTCATTGCTTCATACATCATACTTAAGGGATCTAACAAAAGTTTACTTCAAACTGTTGGGATTTTTCACAACTTTTCTGCTGTTCGAACTCCGCAACAAAATGGAGTTGTTGAAAGAAGAAACAGAACATTAATCAAGGCTTCTCACACTATGTTGGCTTACTCTGGTCTACCTCTGTATTTGTGGGTTGAAGCAGGGTCTACTGCTTGCTTTACACAAAATCGAACGATCATCGTCAAACGTTTTAATAAAACTGCTTATGAGTTGATAAATAAACGAATGCCTAATATAAAATTTTTTGTCGTGTTTTTGGCTGTAGATGCTTTGTGCTTAGCGATCGAGACAATCTCGGGAATTCGAAAAAAAGGCGAAAGAAGGGTACCTCATTGGTTATTCTTTAAAGTCTAAAGCCTTCCAAGTCTACATCAAGTCATCTAAGATTTTTATTGAAAGCATCAACATCAGATTCGATGAATCTTCGGCTTCTGAACAACTCAGTTCAGGACTCAAGCTACAACCGTTAGCTTCTAGACAAAACAGTGTAGAACCTATACCAAACAAGACATTTAATTATGATTCTTCAACTAAATCAAATTTAGATTCTTTGTTTAAAGACGCATTTGATATAACTTGGGATATTCTTGCAGATTACGAAATATTTGTTCTACCCAAGATGAATGAACCAGTGGTTCCTATTCCGCAAGTTACTCAAATTTCTGGACCATCTGAAGTTGGTTGTTCAACATCAAATGTGGTTCAACATGAATATGTTGAAGATACTAAATCAGAACCTATTCAAGCTGAGGCACAGACTCAACCAGAGATTGTTCAATCTGACATTGATCAATCTAAGTCTTCTCTACCTGCAATTGAAGCTAAACATTCTAAGATTCAAGATGAAGAAGAATCTGATACTCAAGCTGAAGTAAATTCTGAAATTCAAACTATAACTAATGAATATGATGTTCAGAACAATCTAAATGATGTTCAACCCCTTTCTTGTACTCACAAATGGACAAAAGAGCATCCCCCTACTCAAATAATTGGTAATGTAAATGATAGAGTGAAAACACGATTTGCTACCACTAACGAGTGTCTTTTCGTTAACTCTTTCAGCGCTATAGAGCCAAAGAATCCATCTGAAGCATTGCAAGATCTAGATTAGATTAATTCCATGCAAGATGAAACTCGAGAATTTGAGAGAAACCAAGTTTGGAGACTCGTATCGAGACCGAAAGACAAATCAATAATTGGTACTAAATGGGTCTTCCGAAACAAAAAGGATGAAACGGGAATTATTGTGAGAAACAAAGCCCAAGTGGTTGCTAAAGGAAAATCAATTCTTGCTTCAAAAGGGATGTTTCTTTTGATGAATAAATGGAAATATTACTTTGTCAATTTCTGGAAATCTTATTTTTACCTAATCGAATAGTTTGGGATTCAGAAGTGAAAGAAATCATTATGACAATACCTTTGCTCTAGTCACACGCATTGAAGCCATCAGAATATTCTTGGCGTATGCTTCTCACAAGAATTTCAAGGTATACCAAATAGATGTCAAATCGGCATTCCTGAACGATATTCTTCATGAAGAAGTTTACATGAGTCAGCCTGAAGGTTTTGTTGATCCACAAAATCCTGATCATGTCTATGTCCTAGACAAAACATTATATGGTTTGAAACAAGCACCTAGGTCATGGTATAATACTTTAACTCAATTCCCGCTGAATTCTGGTTTCAAGAAAGATACGATAGATACTACATTATTTCTTAAAAAGAAAGGTAAACATATGATCTTGATACAAATATATGTTAATAATATTATATTTGGTTCTACAAATCCTATGTTTTGTAAAAAAATTTCAGACATCATGCAATCTAAGTTTCAAATGAGTATGATGGAGAGTTAAATTTCTTTCTTGTTCTTCAAGTTAAACAACTCCCCAATGACATATTCATTAATCAGTCTAAATATGTGAAAGATATTTTGAAAAGATTTAACATGTTTGAATGTTCTGCAATAAAGACTCCCATGGCTATTGGAACATTTTCATACCCTTTATTCATCTTGTTCATCTTACATACTCATTTTTTAATATACTTTTTATTTTAACAAATTACACAATTATAATCGTCTCATCAATCTCTTCGAAATGAACCCAATAATGAATATTATTTGATTTAATTATATTATTATAATCGTATTTTCAATAACATACATAATTGTATATTAAATAAAATATGTTAACAAAATACATTTTTATTTTAACAAGTTACACCATTATAATCGTCTTGTGAATACCTTCAAATGAGCTCAATATTGAATATTTTTGGTTAATCATAATATTAAATACCATAACTACATAAATTATTTTTAAAACTTACATTTTATATCCTTACAGTTATTTATTTAATTTATTTTATATACATTACTTTTTTTATTTTTTGTTGTATACCCTTATCACATTAACATACATAATTGTATATTAACTAAATTCCGTTAAAAATATGTTTTTATTTTAATAAGTTTCATCATCATAATCGTAATCGTCTCGTCAATACCTTCAAAATAAACCCAATATTGAACATCGTTTTATTTAATTATGGAACTGTAATTATATAAATATCATAAGGGTATAAAATAAAAATAAAAATAATGAAGTAAA